GGTGGTGTAGTGGTATTAACATTGCAGAGCCCCCGTACTAGCCTTATGCTAGCGGTGTGGAGTGCAGATTCTGGGTTCGAGTCCCAGTCGCGGCATTGTTTTTTGCTTGCTTGCCAGGGGGGAAGGCGTCATGAGGATGTCATCGGTGAGAAGAGTGTGCTGGGGGTGTGGGTGTTGCGGAGGATGCGTCATATAACAAGAAGTGCGGATGGGCAGGTTGTTGTTGTAGTAGAAAGAATCCATGAGAAGTATAACGGATAGAGGCCCCACTTATGAACACTGACGGATGCAGACACGCTAATTATGGCATTCGAGTGTGTAGCGATGATGTGCGCTGTACATGCTATGCAGCAAGTAATCTAGCATTGGGGTTAGCACGGGGAACGAGGCAAGAGGGAAGAAGCTCGGGACGTACAGTTCGTAGAGTATCGACTGGAAGGCCAACAGCCCAGAACGGTATAGCGACACAATCGCCCCGGTAGCTATCACGACAAGCAAGGGCCGCAGAACCAGCAGGATGGCATACTTCACGATCGACACGGTAGTTCGCCTGTTGAGTTAGATACTGCAAGTCAATTTGCTTCATGATCGCTAGCTTACACAATAGAAGTTGCCATGTTTGTCGATCTTAACGATAACTAGTAGTCAAGGGGTCTTATTGCATGATACTGAGGATAGGGTCTAGTCTGCCTTTTAGCCTATTATATTATCCAGTTCCAATCCCTGGGAGAGATGACTGTCTTTATATCCACCATGCTAGAGGTGGGCTCTCGAAGCTACGGTGCTATTTAAAGAAATGTACTCTATTTGTTTGACGTACAGGTGGCAAGAGTATTGATACACGTATTCTGACGTCGAGAATTGTGCTGCCTGGATTTGTACAATCTGGCTGATATCTTTGCCGCTTTTCCCGACTTCCTGGCCAGGTAAGGTGGAACCAGGAGGTAGCCAACCAGGCCCCTTTTCTGCAGGCATGAGGCCACATGTGATGGGTGTGACTGGGTTTCCAAGGCGAAAGTTGAGTTTGCCGGCTCCACCCGGACCCCAAAGTCTCCACATCCTTTCAGCCCTACAGGGCTGGCTGCCCAGGGGGTACTTCCCCCAAATTCCCGACTGACTTTTCCTGGAAACATCCTCTTCTCTCAGTCTCAAGTCATACTGCTGATCTGTCAGTACAACACCACGTATGGGATCGTCTGCTGCCATTCGAATCACACCCAGTCCTACAAATCGGACGCCTACAAATCAATGGGTTGGACATCCACATCTGCGGAACTCCCTGCCATCCGACAAAATCTAATGTTCGACTCTGCCTGGCCGTCTGGTGCCAGTCCATAAACGCACGCAATGCATCCGGAAGACACTCCTCGCTTCACCCACTTTTCTTGTCAATCTCAAGAGGTCACGGTAGCCTCCACCTTCGAAGGTCTCCTGGCCGAACGGCCCGAGCAACTCTCAGAATCAAATGACCTTAAAGTAGACGCATGGTGGTTGGACATCTGCGACGCCTCCGAAGAGGATGTCAAGGCGGTCGGGCAAGCTCTTTCAATTCACCCCTTGACGGCCGAAGACATCGTCACGCGGGAGCCACGTGAGAAGATCGAGACCTTCCGAAATTACTATCTGATTTCATTCCAGACCCTGCTGTCAGCCACGGGCAACAGCTTGGAGCGGATGAAGTCTCTGACTAGCGAGCCACACACCATCCCTGACTCAGCAGGATTCTATATCCTCGTCTTCAAGAAAGCCGTCGTCACGTTCTCTCCCGAGGGTTGTGACCATGTTTCGCGGGTGCTCGATCGAATCCACCGGATGCAGGATCCATCAATCATGTCGAGTGAGTGGATTTGCTATGCCTTGATGTGAGCTTCCTGCACCTCAGAACCATCCCGAGATCGGATTGAGCCGATGAGACTGACTCCGTCACAGCGATGACATCGTCGACAGTTTCGCGCCCTACATACGAGCCGCGGAGCGCGACTGCGACGCCATCGAAGATCAAGTGTTCATGGCGCGGGCCGATGACATCAAAGCTATCATCCCGCTGGTCGACCGCCTCCACAAGAGCATCACCCAACTCACCAACTGCCTGAGCGGGAAGAACGATGTCCTCAACGGGTTCGTCAAACGCTGTCAGGCGAAGAGCCAGAACGCCGTCTTCTCCAAAGCGGAGATGATCGTGTACCTGGGCGACGTACAGGACCATCTGGTCACCACGCTGACCAGTCTCTCCCACTTCGACGAGATTGTCGGTCGGTCGCAGGCGAACTTCCTGGCGCAGATGAGTGTCAACAACATCCGGCTGAGCTTGAATATCAACGAGATTCTGAGCAAGGTGACGGTCCTCGCGAGTATCTTTGTACCGTTGCATATGATCACGGGGCTGTGGGGGATGAATGTGCCCGTCCCGGGGCAGGATGCCGACGGGCTGGGCTGGTTCTTTGGGATTGTGGGGTGTTTCGTCGCTTTTATTGTTGTGTGTTGCTTAGTCGCGCAGCGGATGAAGTTGCTGTAGATACATCTAACTCACATTGTATATGACTTGATAACAGTTTTGAGACAATGATAAGGCTAGACGAGCCTATGAGAGGCTAAATATGCTACGAACCACACAGCGAAATCGTGGCCTGCGACAGGAGCTGGAATCTCTCCGTGGCCGACTGAGTGACCGCAAAGCTAGCCCGGTGCGAAGGATTGATATGAGATTCATGCTGATACTGAGTTACAGGTGAAGCGGCAGTCATCGTTCACAAGTCATCGTTCACAAGTCTTGTTGTGGGGGGGGTGATGCGTGAGAAGTGTCCAATATCCCGTGATCCACGGTCATTGAGCCAAGAGTATCGTCATGAATTAGGAATCCATGGCCCACTGAAGAATACCTAGCTCATCTCGTCTCGTTGAGGACAAGCCTTGCATTTACCAAATCCGTGTCTGCCGAGCGACGATAATCCGCGACTCGATATTTCCTGTGGTGTTCGGTGCTTCTACAACTGGGGTAGCTCATGTTGAGAACAATTGGCATGCCCGATGACGACCGGAAGCTAGAGGCCTCTCGGGTGATTCTCTTTGCCTATGGCGACGGCGTGAAGAGCGCGATGCATAATCAATTTATCCAGCCCGAACGTTCCTTCGAAGCCTCTGAGTCACCACTTTGCCTCCAAGAATATGAATATCCCATACAGTAATGCGCTTTGTTTCTCGAGGCATCACAACTCTCCAAATCCCATACATCCACATGCGCCAGTTGCGGCCACTGTTCAAGTCTCAATACTACTCCCCCCCGACAGAATGGGCTCCGTAACAATGGACAGGAGCTGTGCACTGGGGTGATATCTGCTAGACCACAAGGACTGAAATTTCCTTCAATGGGCCCGTTCTGGATTCTTTGCTCTCGAACAATGAGTCTTCTCCCTAGTCATTGATACTTTGAAGAATTTCTTTCTGAGATTCTCAAGAAAAGTTGCTATGCAGGGGTCGATGGAATCATTCTTGAGCGGTCTGCAGGTGCTTACCATGTACTGCGTCATTCGGATATGGCTGCTACCATGAACAAGCATCGCGTGATATCGAATCCAACCAGCGGATAGATTGGCCAAAACCTTGAACCTATCTATACCTTGCGAGCAAACGCCAGCGCTCGTTTGAAGCTTGACCATCATTGTTTTTGATTCGAACAACCCAGTGCTTTGATTTGGTAAGTAGAAGGTAGAATGCTTACCTTGTCATGGCTAAGACCAGAACAGCACAGGGTGATCCCGCTCGAAGAAGAGAATGAAGTTGAAAGAATACAACTGAAAGAAAAGGAGAAATGTGTCTGTATGCATGCGCGTGTGGACGAGTATGAAGACGAAATTGAAAACGAAAGTGGTGATGAAGAGAAGAAGAAAAGAAAAGAGAAGGAAAGAGCTGAACCCCAGAAAAGAACCGAAAAAAGGAAAAAAGAAACCAAAAAAAAAAGAAGACAAACAAAAAGAAGAGATGCAGAGCAATCGCTCGCTACTCACCACTTGCAAGCAATCCACCGCAACACATCCTCGGTTGCCCTCCCACATCTTATGCGCTCTGATCGCCCTGGTGAACTCCCATTTTTTTTTCTCCATGCCTCTTGTACACTCCACAGACAAAGTCATCCTTCGCTGTTTGATGCATGAGAGAAACTACGGGGTGAACATATCGATCTCCGTTATTGGCTTCTGTACCCCCTCCTCCCTCTCACACCCAAATTCTGTGAACTCCTTGATATATTCTCTCCTCCCAACTTGTCTCCAACCACCGCAATTCCTTTATCTAACCCTTCATGCACCGAGATTTATCCCATCCTATTGCCCCTTATCCCCAAAATACCCTTTCATATTCCCGACGCCCTCTCCTTCATCTTTTCCGCCTCTCGTGTTGTGTGTTGAAGTACCATTTACCCAAAAGTTCCTGATCTCTATCCTGATGAACAGACTTTGGTCGACGTCTCCTATAACTGCTATCTACACCCCTAGACTCTCTGTGCCATCATCCTTCCATTCTATCGTCCTCTTTACCCATTATCCCCAACATCTCTGACCTCTTCTCCGCCTCCGATTCTTGTGTCGAGTGCGTTAAACTACCGTTGAACCCACGTTCTTATCCTTTATCCTAGTGATTGAATTATGATTGGCGGTTCCAGGAGTTGCCCTATAGGCCTCCAGGTACTCTTTATTATACTCGTGAATCTTGTCTTGGACGAAAGTCCATAGACTAAGCTAGGGCAGGACCACATCCATCCGATCTAGTGTGAGGTGGACAAATAGGAGCACAAGACCACGGCTTCCAACTAACAGAGCAAACCACAGGCTCCCTTGATCGAGATCTCTCGGTGTCGGAATCCTATGCCATTGCCAACAGCTCTTTATCTTCCGTGTCCAGTCGAACACTTTCCTGCAGAGCGGTGGGCCAAGCATTTCTTACGCTGCGGCTTCGTCGAGATTACGAAGATCAAGCACCAATAGCAACCCTTCATTGATGGCCGACCATCCCGCTAATCCTTGGGTTGCATCACACCGGATACCCTAGTGCTCTACGCCGTAGTGCTCATCGATTCTGAATCCTGGCCTGTAGTAAATATTAAGCTTACACATCGAAATGCGTAATTCTTGTATTTCGTCCCAACCGTTCTGAACTCGACCTCTAATTCTCCAAACAGGTACCATTCCGGTTCTGATCCCAACAGAATTTAAGCGATCTCCATTATCACATGCTAGAAAGTCAAACACGGGGACTCGGGGAGTCTTGATTCCCCACTCTTTCTAGCATCGCAATTCTCAAGGAGGTTTTCTGAGCCCCGACCAGTGGGTGACATCTCTTGTGCGCAAAAGGTTCCACGTGGCGCTCGGACTGACCGCTGTCGGCCAATTATACGAAGAGATGCTAATCGAAATGAGGTTAGTGTAACGCTTACTAAGTCGGTACCCTGGGCCCAGCCACTAGACTCTATTGAGGAAAGCGGCCCAATGGGCGGGAACTGCAGCACTGCAAGTCTGCAACTAAAGCGCCCGGCCACTCACTGTTCGCTCACTGACTGCTTATTCCGTGTTCTTGTGTGTCTTATCTATCATCAAATGGCCCGACGGAGTGGAGGGGCAAGGGCTTTATCACCCCCCACCAATGGATTGTATTTGACTACCCAGGTAGACCAACTTCTTTCCAATCTATCAAGTTCTAGTCTAATGACGGTCAACCCTG